CTCATCAATTGTAGTTATCAGAAGTTTGGAAAGGAACGTTTCTTGACTAGAGAGAAACATTAATGAATTTTAGAATAAAGGATTCACTAAAGAAACAATATATCAATAGATGAAATTACAGTTCAAGATATTCTTTAGCAAGCTGTTGCGGAGGTTCTTTCAGTGTAATCAATAATAATATGCAATCTGTTATCTCTGAGCCAGTTGCCTAAAAAATTAAACCCAAGGTCAATATAGATCAATCGAATGAGAAGCGAATATGACAATCAAGAGATTAACATACATTTTCATCAGTCATTTTTTCTCTAATTTTCTTGGAAACTTTGTCAATAATCTCTTTGCACTCGCTCTCAATTGAACTGAATACAGACAAGCTTCTATAATATTCTAAAAGACGTGATGTTTTTGCATAATATCTTACAGCCTGGGCGTAGGACTTTTGATCTAGGCATGATTTCAGTCTAGTAGGCAATTCAAAAATAAATTGAATCTTTGTGACAAATTGGATAAGGCATTAATTTGAGTAGTTTGAATATGCTAAAATTTATAAAAATTTACAAAGTACCTTTTTTAATAAATCATGAACACCTGTTAATTGACGAATCTTTTCTCGCTTTGGACCCAGAGCAGAATTTACCAATGATGTAACATTTGAGATGTTGGAAATACTTTTTGAAAGCTGATCCATTTCAGATTCCATACTTTCAACATTACTTTTCATCTATTTATTTATAAATAAATCTAAGCTAATTATATTCATCCACGAAAATAAATTTAAACTTTGACAATTTTAGTCACCTTTCTTATGGTATCAGTAGCACTAATAAACTTGTTATAATTTTCATATACTAATGTTTTCATATCTCCATCAAGTTGCCTGATTTCTAAAAAGCAAATATTTGAGGGTTTGAATTTGTATTAAGGAATAATGCTTAGTATTTAATTCTCTAATGTTGTAAGTTACCTGTACTTAAATCATTATCTCTTTGTATTAATTCACTCAGATGCTTTTCGGTAAGTAGAACATTGCAATAATGTTCAGCCTCAAAAGCGGAATTATCTTGTTAACAAAATGATCTATGGATTTTAATATAAAAAAAGGTGTAATAAAGTAAAAAAAAAGGTAACATTAAAAACAAACCGATATCCAAAGGATCAGCTTTTTTTCCACCTGTACCTTTAGTTCGACCCTTACGAGGTAAAGTAAGCGTTATAGGTTTCGTTGATCTAGATGTTGAAGCCAAAGATTTAGAAGGGGAGGTCGATATTTGCTGTGAAGTTGCCATTATACAACGAAAAGAAAGATAGGAGATTCTACTCGAACTAAAAATTTTTATTCACATGACTTATTTGTGGTGCAAACCAGAGACCCGGAAAAATATCGATCAGAATGCAAGGTCAGGTGTAACGTGAAGACAATCACATTTATTTCAAAATTTCGCCTAAGAAATCACCAAAAAAAATTCCTTGCAAAATTATAGTATAAGGTTGTCCACTAACGCTAACCCCAAACCATAACTTAGGTACCACATTTTAAATAGAGAGTGATATTGTCAGAGGCTAATCGACCTAAATTACACCTCCAACAAAAGAGAAGAAGAACGATGATCTGGCGTGTCAAAAGAGAGCAAGGTCGAATAACAATGCTCAGTAGAAAGATGAGGCGGATTTTGATTTGGCACAGGTCAAAGGCGTCTACTAAGTATTGTTAGGTAAGTAATTTAGTGTACTTTTAAAGAACGTTGTAGCTTGGATATAGTCAAGGGTTTTTATTAACGAATTTTTGTATAGAGAGCAGATTGTACTTGCACTTGTTATTGTAAGGTACTAATAATTATGACTTGACAA